TCACCATCATCACTATCACCAACATCACCATCACCATCATCACTATCATATCACTTCACCATCATCACTATCACCATCACCATGATCACTATCACTATCACCATCACCATCCTCACCATCATCACCATCACCATGATCACTATTACATCACTATCACCATCACCACCATCACCATCACCACCATCACCATCATCGCTATCACATCACTATCACCATCATCACCATCATCACTATCACATCACTATGACCATCACAATCACCAACATCACCAAATTCACCACCAAGATCACCACCATTATTACCATCATCACTGTCACCATCATCACTATCACCACCATCACCATCACCATCATCACCACCATCACCATCATCACTATCACCACCATCACCATCACCATCATCACCACCATCACCATCACATCACCATCACCATGATCACTATCACATCACTATAACCATCACAATCACCAACATCACCATCATCACCACCATCACCATCATCACCTCCATTGCCCTCATCACATCATAACCACTGTCACCATCATCTTCGCCACCACCCCCATCACCATCCATCCCACCACCATCATCACTATCACATCACCATCACCATCACCACTATCACATCACAATCACCATCACCACTATCACATCACAATCACCATCATCACCATCACCATCATCACCACTATCACATCACCATCACCACTATCACATCACAATCACCAACATCACCATCACATCACCATCACCATGATCACTATCACATCACTATCACATCACTATCACCAACATCACCATGATCACCAAATTCACCATCATCACCACCATCACCATCATCACCTCCACTGCCCTCATCACATCATAACCACTGTCACCATCATCTTCGCCACCACCCCCATCACCATCCATCCCACCACCCCCATCACCATCCATCCCACCACCCCCATCACCATTACGCACATGCTGAGAGACCACTACATGCCAGGTACCAAGTACTTCCCATGCACTGTCTCATTTCCATCTTTACAACATTATATGGTCGACTCTACCATTCCTTCTGAAGCACAGAGATGACAAGCAAGTTGGCTAAGTTTACACAGCTCTTATGAGCTGAAGCCAGCAATGTACAGACAGGCAGTGGGACTCTGAACCATTCCCCAACAACTTGGGGAGATTCTCCAATTACTTCACCTGGAGGATGATTCCTGGGAGAGGGCCCTGTGACCACTCCAGCAGCTAGTCCATGTAACACTAGTTCCAGAGAAATCTCAAAGTGCCCCAAATCACCAGACATCTGACCTCTCCATGTCCATCAATGTCTGTGCTATGGACAAGCAGCAAAATGTAACATGTCCCTTCTAAAGATTTCTCTACAGCACCAAAAATAAAACCCACACATCCCAAAATATAATTCCAAGGATCTCTTTTTGGACAGCAGAACTGACTTAATGAAGCTTTGTATCACTTCCTAAAGCTCCAAATTCTGGGGTGGCCCTAGCAGAGAGTGAGTAGAAGTGACTCCCATGTCCAGGGTGACCAGTTCTGCCTTTGAGCCTGGCAGCCCTTTCTTCAGAGCCACTTTTGCTGGGTATAAAACAGCTGCTGTGTATGGAGGACTCTTAGGCCCTCCATGGGGCACACTGGTTTATGCTCAGCGTTGATCCACTGAATCCTCACAGCATCTGTTCTGGGGAAATAGTTCTAAGCTTCGATTTTTCTGGTGAAGAAAAGGAAAGCAGGAGAGAAGAGCTGCCTCCCATGGGGTCATACAGCAACCTGCATGATTGCTGTTGCCCAGATTGTCAGCCAGGGCTTCAGATTGTCAGCCAGGGCTTCAGCCTTGAGGCAGGTGCTATGCACTGCAGCAGTGCGTGGTTCCCCCAACTGCAGCTCTGGGGTCCCCAAGACTACTCTTGCTGTCTTAAATGCCTGCGAAGTGTGAGTAGCGGTCACACTCCACAAAGAGTTGGGGGCCCAGGTTCCATCTGATGACTGCTGAGACAAGGGGATTCGGGGGAATCCAGGCCTCTGCCCCACCACCTTCCCCATCCAGCTCAGTTTTCTTATTCATTGACCCCTTATCTAGGGGTTCCAGATAAGGAGATAGACGGGCTGCCTCTGGGGCCTAAGCCAACGACTGCCCTCCTGCGTCACTAACCAGCTCTTCCCAGAGTCTAATTTGCATTCCTTCTGCTTGGGTAATTAACTTCTGACACTGGCCCCACCTAGGCTCTGATGAAGCCCCTGAGAGGGGGTCATCTCATCATCTCCTCTCTCCCCCCACCTTGGCCTGGAGCCCAAGGACTGCCTGGAGGGCCGCCGGGAGCTGCCTGTCTTCTCTGCCTGCAGCCCAGCATCCCTTTCAAGAACGAACACTCCTTTGCATCAGAAGCAAACACACACATATTCCTCCTTTTAAATTTGTTTTGCTAAACAAATTAATCTAGCACCAGATTATATTAGGAAGAACCATAAATCTTTTCCAAGATAAGCATCTGTCGAGTTGGATTAGCGACATTCAATGTACTGTGAATTAATTTGCTAAGCCTTATAATGCTGTCCAGGCGTTTAGCTTTAGTAATAACAAATGTAATTTGGAATAAATGGGAACTTGTGTCCTCATCCATGTCTATATAGTAAGAGATGAACACTGAGAAGGTGACAGTTAAGTGAGTGCATGTGACGAAGGCTTGCGGATTTATTGAGATAAAAATTAATGCTTTGTAAGCTGCTCTCAGGCGCCTGACAGGGAAGGGTGAACTGTGGCCTGAGGGTCTGGAGATCCCCAAAGGAGGTGCAGGGGAGGCCGCACAGGCACTCCCAGGCTCCTAGCCCCCGGCCAGCGTTGGTGTGAAGCTCGGTTGCACTTTCACAGGTACGCTGCTCTCCAGGGAAGAGGAGCTCAGAATAAAAACTGCAGGTCCTCCTGTCCAGGTGAAAGAAGGAAGTAGGTCACCAGCTACTCCGTGAAGGACAAAACCACCCAGCCCACAAATACCTGTCCAGCTACTCAGCACCGCCTGCCTGTCCAAGGTGAGAGGGAACCACGGCCAGGACACAGGGACAGGGACGCTGTGCCAACTGGGCTGCAGAGGACCTCGGAAGGGCCATTCCTTCCTTCTCCTCCAGCCCAACGAGGCCTGTGTGGGGCCTCTGGGGTCCACACCCTTGAGGGAGGGAAAAGCAGGCCGGCTGGAGGAGGCAACAGCCCGCTGCCCATTTTGTGCTGATGCCCTGGAATTTGCATCCTGTTTTACAGAGCTAGCAGATGTTGCCGTTTGTCTCGGAGGTACATGCACAGACAGGTCTGCATCGTGAACTTGTGGGTCGCCCTGGGGCATCAGGCCATGGCCTGTTAGAGTGCAGCGGGTGAGAACGGCTGGGGTCTGGGGCTCTGAGCTCGCCACCTCTCCTAACCACGAAGCCTGGCCCACACCAGTGCAGGTGACCAGAGTGGGGACAAGCTCTGGATTGGGAGGTCCCCAGGGGCTACTCCATTTGAAGCAGTTGGAAGACAAGGTACAGGAGAAAAAAGCAAAACAAATCCATACACGAGGAGATATTTCAAAGCTAAGGAATTGTAACATCAGCAAAAGACTCTGCATCCTTCAAACACCCTCCTCACCGGGCCCCAGGGAAGGGACCTCTGCTCCTGAGTCGTCCTTTCTGAAGCTTCAGTTAACACCATGGGAAGTTCCTCCCTTCACTGGGCATCAGTCTTTCCTGATATTTAGGGCCATTGCTAATCCTGAGCCAAGGTCAAGCTGGCAGGGCACCCCCCTCTCCTCCGAAGATGACCCATGGACCCTTATCGCCATCATCTTGGGCTACCCTGCAGGTGAAGTTCTATAGCTCTGGAATATGTGGCTCTGTGACTGGTGGGGTTTGGCTGGCCCCCAACAGAGTCACGGTAGATATGGCACCCTAATCCAGGCAACACCAAAGAGAGGCCTCCCTCCTAACATCCACCCTCCCCCTGGGAACAACCTGTATTTTCCGGCACCCAGTACATGTGTGTGCAAGTTCTTGCACTCATGGCACCCACATTCCTCCCCAAGTTTCCATATGCAGTGTCTCCCCTGAACTTGCTCACACTGCCCCTGAGCCAGGGCCCCAGCCCCTAGCCACAAGCAAACTCCAACCAGACAAGAGGAGGCCATACCTGAGGTCTCCCCCAGGATCCGCGGGGGCCTGATGTCTTTCCCATTGCTGCCGGGACTGGTAGAGGGTTCCGTTGTGCTAACCCCGACTGGGATCCTTTTCCGGGGGTCCAGGGACTCGGTGAACCCCTTAGTCTGCAGCGTCGTGGGGGTGGCCGTGGTGGTGGTGGTGGTGGCCACAGTTGTCTTCCGTGTTTGTAAGATGGAGACTGTGGTGGGGCCGTAAATGCCCGGAAATGTGTTGGACTCCAGGCCCTCCTCGTCCCCCGTGGGTCCCCAGGCGATGAACTCAGCCTCTGTGGTGGGCCGGCCGCCTCTGAACTCAAAGCTGCTGAGGCCGTCCCCCTGCAGGTGCCTCCTCCCCCTCCTCAGGAGGGCCTGCTGTTCCATGGCCCCGCCGGCCACCATGGAGGGCGAGGATGAGGAGGGGGAGGCGAGGGAAGGGCTGGATTTGGCTGCAGCTGGGGGCCTGGAGAGCCCCCCTTTAGGAGCAAGGGCAGCTGCCTGGTCCCTGGGCCTGTGGGCCCACTTGGCTCTGGCTGTCTGTATCTGTCCGTGCGCCCGCTCCACGCGGGGCGGCCGGGGACTCCACACGGGGACCGGGGCCCGTGCTGGCTGTCCACTTTTAAAACTCCACAACCGGGGCGGCCGGGGCGATGGGCGTGGCAGGAGCCGGAACTCGGGGCCGGGGCCCAGGGACTCACAGGTGGGCAGATCCACCGTGAGCTGAAACATGGCTATAAGTATCCAAGCGTGGCTTCTGAGGGCGCAGCCCGGCCAGGGGGTGGACATGGAGCTGCAGGGAGGAGAGAAGATGGTCAGTAGGAGGCGGGGCTGGGCCCAGGAATCCCCCTCCCACCCCCACCCTACAGCAGGCCCAAGGACACTCCCAGAAAGAGCTCGAGCTGGCTGCAGAAGGGGACCCACACGCCCGCCCCCACGGCTCCTGTGGGCTGACTCACGTGCGGCTTTCCCAGCAGCATCTGGGGGCCGCGTGTGGGGCGGTGGGGGGGGGGGCGGCTGGCATCCAGGGCCAGGCCCCACACAGAGCCCGTTCCATGGAACAGACATGGAGTCTCACCACCCCCCAGGGCTAGCTTTGACAAGATGACTTTAGGACACCTGCCTGTCCCCCATCCTAATACAGTGGAGGCCCCAGGAGCTCTCTGGGGCTCAGACCTGGCCCTCAGCGCCAAGCCCAGGGCCAAGCACCTTCCCCCATGCCCACTCTCCTGAGGTCTGGGACAGAGGCCTCAGACCCTCTGTGTGACTCAACCTAATGATACCTGGGGCGCCTGCTGGGGGCACCTCCTGGGCCCCCACTCTGCCGTACACAGACTCATGGCACAAACACTGCCAGCATTCCTCCCTGCCACCGGCTAGTGCACGGTGCCAAAGCAGGCATGTGCCTTTAAATGCTATATATGGGGAAGCTACTTATTTCTGGCCTCCTCTGGGGAGATGAGCTCGGCTCTGGGTAAGCTAGAAGTTTACAGATGCCGAAGTTGCCCGAGTGTTTGTTCTGGTGATGATTCTGTTTTCCCCGTGTGCCCTCTGAGCAGGTGCTCTCTGAAGCCCCCCCACTGCACCCCCCCCACCCCGCCACCTCCCAGGAAGGCTGGAGAAGGAGCAAGCCCAGCAGGACTGGGGGGGGAGGCAGGGTAGCATACACAGCAGGGTGGCTCACACAGCGGGGCTGAGGGGGCACAAAGCTACCCCAGTCCCCCGGAGCTGCGCTGTCCCTGGTGCAGCTCCAGACCAGCGGGCACTCCACTGTCACGTGAGAACCCAGAGCACAGCGGGAGCCACGTGGGAGAGCTGGGAAGACGCGGCCCCCATTCCCACTTCCCCCAACTCAGATAATTGAGGCCTGATTATTGGTGTCACTCAAAGTCAGTTCGCATCAGCAACCTCACATCTGAAAGTTAAAATGAATCCAAAAACTTTAATGACTGTGACGGGTGAGGAGGGTGCTGAGTGTGCTGAGCCGCCAGCCTGCAAAGCTGCTCAAACCAGGCCGGGAAAGCAAGTTGGGTGGTTTTTCTTTATAACGCATCATGCGACTGTAAAAAGGAGTGAATCAGTGGGTGTGTGTCACTGTGAGTGTGTAACTGGGAACGTGCACAAGCCTGAGTGTGCATGTCAGTGTATGTGTGAGTGGCTGTCAGTGTGCAGGTGCGTGTGCCAGTGTGTGAGGTGTGTAGATGTGACCATGAGTGTGAGAGGCAGTCTGTGAGTGGCCCCGGTGTCTGGTGGCCTATCTGTGTCTGGTGTATACGGGCAAGGTGGGAGTGTGTCCAGTGCCGGTCAGTGAATGCAGCCGTGTGTCCATGTGTGTCAGGGTATCTGTGGCCGTGTGGGTCCCCATGTGAGAGTCTCTGTGTAAGTGTGTCAGTGTGTGTGTCCCACGAGCACACACCTCTGCCTTTAGCCAGAAATGCACGTGGCTGGGGCCGACTCTCACGGATGCTTGGGAACAAGATGGTCTCTTGGTCTCAGGACACTGAGAGAGAAACTCTTGTTAATGAGCACTAATTACCAAAAAGGACCAATCTGCAAATAAAAAGGCCCCAGTTCTTTAATCAGAATGAAAGTGCTTTGCTGCAGAAATTAGGAACTGCTCATCACGCTGGTGCTTCCGCAGTGATTCTGCCGGTGCGCGATTTCTCCACACAAGCAGCCAAGTGCAGCGGGGCCATGGTCCCCACGTGGAGGAAATTAGGTCAGTGTGAAGCTCCCCACACACACCAAGGTGTGCTGCAGGTGGCCCAGGGAAGGCGGGACCGGGTGAGAGACTCTGCTTCTCCCTCTTCCTGCACATCCGGGCAGAAGGCTGGCCCCAGGGGAAGAGACGCTTCTCAGACAGGGTGCAGGGCCTCTCCAGACCCCAGCAAGCCTCAGCAGGTCCGACCAGGTACAACCAGGTACCACCAGGCTCCGGAAGTCCCCACTAGGCCCTGCCAGGTTCCACCAGGCCCCACCAGGCCCCAGAAAGTCCCACCAGGTACGACCAGGCCCCAGCAAGTCCCACTAGGTATGACCAGGTCCCACCAGGCCCCAACAAGTCCCACTAGGTATAGGTCCCACCAGGCCCCAACAAGTCCCACTAGGTATGACCAGGTACCACCAGGCCCTACCCAGCCCCAGAAAGTCCCACCAGGTACAACCAGGCCCCAGCAACTCCCACTAGGTATGACCAGGTCCCACCAGGCCCCAACAAGTCCCACTAGGTATGACCAGGTCCCACCAGGCCCCATCAGGCCCCAAGAAGTCCCACTAGGTATGACCAGGCCCCACCAGGCCCCAACAAGTCCCACTAGGTATGACCAGGCCCCACCAGGCCCCAACAAGTCCCACTAGGTATGACCAGGTCCCACCAGGCCCCAACAAGTCCCACTAGGTATGACCAGGCCCCACCCAGCCCCAGAAAGTCCCACCAGGTACAACCAGGCCCCAGCAGGTCCCACTAGGTATTACCAGGTACCACCAGGCCCCAACAGGCCCCACCAGGTTCCACCAGGCCCCACCCAGCCCCACCAGGCAGGCTGAATCAAAAGCCATGACAAGCCAACCTGCCTGCCCTCAGTGCTTGGAGAAATATTGCCCCAGGAAATTAAAATCGCAGCCCCTAAGCCTGCGCCTGCCTCCCCAGCATAACTTCACACACAGGATATTCCTGTGATTTTTCACCAATCATGGCTGTAATTGGTTACTATGGAAACCCCCTCATTTCCGAGACACCCAGCTGTCATGCAGAAAACCCGACCAACTGCAAGAGAGCAGGAGAAGTTGCTTTGGGGCTCCTCTTCAAGTCCAGTTTCTTCTTTTTAAAGGGACTGATTTGTTCAGAGAAGGAAACAAAGAGGGCAAGAGGGAGCTCAGGCCCCCTCACCCGGCCAGCACAGGCTGGGTGGGGGCAGAGAGAGCCCCCTCACAGGGAGGCTGGACTCTGGGGCCAGCCTGTGTGTGCCACCTGACCTCCAAGGTCCTGAGACGCACTTGGGGACTTGGTGAGAGGCTACTTCTCGGCACAGGGAGGATTTGGCTACATCTCTGTGAGCCCCATGAGTAGCAACCAAGGACTTCTCACCTCACGCCTGGGGCTAGCTCTGAACCCAGGGACATTCTCCTTGCTGGAGCTGTTCAGCAAAAGGCTGGGGTCCCCAGGGCTGCTCTCATCTCAGGAGTAAGAGGCACCTGTGGTACTGTGAGCTGTTCCCGGACAGCAGGGGACCCCTGGCTGCCCACACACAACATGTGCCATCAGGACTGTTGTGTAACACACACCAGCAAGCCAGGCCATGGGGAAGGCAGAGGGGACTCTAGATCCCCCCAAACTCTGGGGTATCTTCAGGCCCCCAAACCTGCTGCCTGTGTCACACACACAAGGAGAGCTATGAACAAAAACATGGACAATGCCGCGTGTCGGTGAGGACGCGGGAGATGGGACTCTGGCGCACTTCGGGTGGGGAGGCGGAACGGAAGACGCCTGACAGTTTCTCGGAAGCTGAACACGGGGTCATCCCACTCTTAGGTATAAACATCTGTGTGGGACTGTCCACAGCAGCAATACACTCGCCCAAAGAGGAAACGGCCCAGTGTCTCTCAGCCGATGAAGGGACCGAGGGAATGTGTGCAATATCCAGGGAGCTGCTCAGAGGCCACGGCGTCTCTTCACAGGGAGCTGCTCGGAGGCCACGGTGCCTCTATATAGAGAGTCGCAGCGTCCAGACAACCCAGTGAGTGCACTCAACCCCACTGATCTGCACTTTTCAGAGGGTAACTTGAAGAAAAGTAAAATGTATCTCAATAAAAAACAAAGGAATGTGCTGGGGAGGGGGATGAGTGCAAGGGCACAGGGGCACAGGGGCCCAAGTGGGGTGCGCAGCATGGTGCCCATATCCTGCACCCCGGTCCTGGCAGGCACAGGAAGCCAGAGCCGGCCCCTCCGAGCTGCAGGGGCATCCACTCCGTCCTCACCGGGTCTCACTGGGAACAACACCCAGGTCTCGCCTGAGCACCTGATGACTCTTGTCCATGGCCTGTGAGGACAGGCCAGAGATGGCCCCTCAGAAGGGCGGCCTCCAGCCTGGGACCGTGAGAGGAAGAACAAGGACCCTCAGCCGCCCCGAACCAACGGCTCCCACACGGGGCCTCCTGCTCCCTCTCACTTTATCTTTCAGTTTGCAGCTTTCTTGCTTCTCTTTCGTTTAAATTTTTATTGAAATCTTTTTTTTCCCCCAAGAACAATTTAATAAGATTCAGTGAATTGAGCTTCAATTCGCCAGCTTCTGTATATTTTCTTCACAGAAGAAAATCACTGTCAATTAGGGGAACAAAGACATGTCTTCCGCCCAAAGTTGCACCTTCCCCGAGCTGAGAGCGTGCGGTGGCGTCTGCCTCCCGGAAGCAGCGGGAGTCTGCCTCACTGGGACACAGGGACAGTGAGAAGCGGGAGGGCCTGAACCCCGGATGGTGCAACCCAGGGGCCGCCCCAGAATCTTCAGGGTGGGATGGACCTCAGTGCTGTGCAACAGGTGGCCAGTGCGCCCCAGTCCTGCCACAGAGACGCCCCACTCCCCACCCCTGCTCCTGGTCCCGTCAGTCCTTGGCCCCGGGGCCCTGGGGAATGAGGCTGCCACAGAGGTGTGAGCAGAGCACAGGCCTGCAGCTCCCTCTCTTCAAACACAGCTTCCCATCATCTGTATGAGCCAGGTGAGGCAGGTGGGCCCTGAGGTCCCCTCCTCCCTGTCTAAGGAAACCCGTGCTTCTGTGATCAGTAATTTACACGGCACA